ACAACTGAAAGAGCTCACAGAGAAGGGGTGGATTCGGCCTAGCACCTCCCTCTTTGGCTCACCAGTCTTATTTGTTCCAAAGAAAGGGGGAACACTAAGGATGTGCATTGATTATAGAGGCCTCAATGTCATCACCATTAAGAACGCAGAGCCTCTACCACGCATCGACAACCTATTGGATAGGGTGCAGGGGTGTAAGTACTATACAATAGACTTAAAATTCGGCTACCATCAGATTGCCATAAAACCAGAGGACCAACACAAAACCGCATTTCAGACCAGGTACGGTCTGTACGAGTTTGTGGTGATGCCCTTTGGCCTTTGCAACGCACCGGGTACATTCCAACACGCCATGAATAGGATTTTCCATGACTACTTAGATGAGTTCGTTGTCGTGTACCTCGACGACATACTCATCTTTAGTAGAACTGTTGAGGAACATGTTCAACATGTAGACAAAGTACTATCCCTCCTTCAACAACACAAGTATAAGAAAAACGCAGAAAAATGCGGTTTCGGTCGCACTCGAATCTTGTACTTGGGTCATGAAGTATCCGCGGATGGGATTAGGCTTGAAGATGCAAAGGTGGCTAGCATACGTGACTGGCCACGACCCCAGTCTGTGACTGAGGTCAGATCATTCTTGGGGATGCGTGGACGATTACATCTCCCTTGACTGATCTAACTCGACTTGGCACACCATGGGACTGGACCGACGAGTGCGAGGCAACTTTCAAGCGTTTGAAGCATGCTCTCACACACCATGAAGCTCTCATGGTGCCTGACCCGCAGAGGCCATTCGTTGTTACCATTGACGCAAGCCTGTATGACATTGTCGCAGTGCTGGCTCAGCAGAAAGGGAAAAAGTTGAGACCGGTCGAGTATATGAGCAAAAAGATGCCATCGAAGAAGTTGGCAAAGTCCACCTATGAGAGGGAACTCTATGCTCTCTACAAGGCACTTGTCCACTGGAGACACTATCTGTTAGGTAGGTTCTTCTATTTGAGGACTGACCATCAGACCCTCGAGTGGATCAAGACCTAGCTAGTTCTCTCCGATGCACTTAAACGTTGGATTGAAGTCATAGATCAGTATGACTTCAAACTAGACTATGTGAAGGGAGAGTACAACAAGGTTGCGGATGCATTGTCGAGAAGGGAAGATTACCTAGGTGCGCTGGTTTCTGAATTTGGCTTATCTGAAGACGTGACTCGATCTTTGGGGGAAGCCTACAAGGAAGATCCCGTCACGATGGACATCATCAACAAACTGCAGGCCAAAGACAAGGTCACTTCTGACGAGTTTGTGATGGTGGATGGGTTACTCTTTCTTGAAAAGGCAGGGTTTAAAAGGTTAGGTGTTCCATCTAGGAAGACTTTGCGTAGTTTATTCTTAGGTGAGTGTCATGACGCAACGGGACATTTCGGCTACAAGAAGACTAGTGCTAATCTAGTACAACGATTCTGGTGGCCTAACATGCTAGACGATGCAAAGAAGTACGTACAGTCAAGTTTGTTAGCGGGACAAGTTGCGGACTCAGGCTCCGCTTGGGTTAATTAAGCCCTTACCCATTCCTACTGGCCCAGGGCAGAGTATCTCCATGGACTTCATGGATACTCTCGTCACCGGCAAGAATGGCAAGAGGCACATCTTCGTCATAGTTGATAGGTTCACTAAGTATGCTAGACTAATTGCCATGCCGGAGACCGCTAGGACTGAACATGTCAGCAAGTTATTCGTGGATAACTGGGTGCGTGATTTTGGACTGCCAAAGACAATCGTTAGTGATAGAGATGTGCGTTTCACAAGCGAGATGTGGAAGAAGGCCGCTGAACAGATGGGCAACCAGATTCAGATGACTTCTAGGAATCATCCCGAAACAAATGGGCAGGCTGAACAGATGAAACGTGTGGTGCAGCATCTACTGAGGCATTACATTAAGCCCAACCAGGATGACTGGGATGAGAAACTACCTCTCATCGCCAACCTGTACAACAATGTTGTACACAGCACCACCGGCGTCACCTAATCAACTGCATCTGGGATGGAAACCTAGATCTGCTCTAGACTTCCTCCTGCCCGAAAACCGAACTGCTGCAACTCCTGGAACCATTGAATTGGTGTCCAGTATGAGAAACTGTTGCAGCAGACTGTTGAACACATCAAGAATCTCAGGAAGCTCTGATTGCTTATGAGAACAAACGTCGACGACAGTCCACATTTCTGGTAGGGGAACGTGTTTGGGTCAAGGCTAGTGAGTTGGGACAGGAGTTTGGGATCTCTAGGAAACTAATACCTCTGTATTTCGGTCCTTGGGAAGTCTTAGACATTGTGGGGAATGATTTGGATGGTCCCTCGTACTTCATTCGCATCCCGGGTCACCTACGCACATACCCTGTTTTTCACGCCTCCAAGCTTGCGCCTTTCGCTGAGACAGCACAGTTCCCATCACTGAGATCTATGCTGCCCCCAACCATGGATGGCCACGTGGACGTCGACGACATCCTGGATCACAAAGACACGCCTGTTCCCAAGCCACCTGGTAGGGGAAGACCTCCTAAACCTACAAGGGAGTACAGAGTACATTTCGGGCATCACACTGATCCTAAGGAAGATCGATGGATTTCAAGGGAGGAAATGGTTAAGACAGCTCCTCAGATCGTGGCAGATTATGAGAAGAAACTGAAGGGGAAGGCACCAGCATGAAGCATCTCAGTGGACTTTAAAAGAAGCTAAGGGGGATGGAATGTGAGGAACAAGCCCTCAAGGGGCCCTATCAGACATCACATGTTCTGGGCTAAGGCCCCAGCAAGCCGAGTGCCCGCCCTAAGTGAAGGCGGGCCTGAATATTCGTCAGAGGCCAAAATTTGACATTTCCATATGTGGGTGGGTATTTAGGCTCTTGCAGCACGCCAGTTGGTTGGGTACACGCGTGAGCCTCACTAAGCTGCGTCATACAGTTGGCCCAGGCCTTGACAGTTGCGCCTGGGCACATACACACAAAGCAGGGCCGATACATTGGGAAGCAGGCCGTCGGCCTTTGGAAAAGCAGTACTGCCTACGCACCTGCCTGGGAGCCCTGCCTGCACAGATGCAGCAAACAGCCCAAGTCCGCAGACTCAGGCCGTGCCCAACTGAAAAGGGCCCAGACCCTCAACTGTAGTCTCCGGCCTAGGCACAGGGTCTGAGGCCCAACCGGAAGCTACTGGAAGCTTCCAGCCAGGCCACACACAACATCCAGGAGGCTGCCACTTCCATAAAAGAAGTGAGGCAGCCCAGGCCAGGCATTCTGCAGGCAATGCGAAAGTGCTGCTGCGTTCTCGCTTGATGCTGCGTTGCTGCCAAAGGCGCTGACGGGGCGCGTAGTGGTGAGGAGGGGCGCTGCAGGGCAGCGGAGCGCAAGCAGCCATAGTCGGGCTGCTGGGCCAGGGGGTACAACATGCGATCTGGTGGTCTTCAGGGAAGGAGGCGCAGTGCGGGGTAATCAAGGTCTGATTGAGGGTGATGAGATACGTACGTGGTACATGAAGAGAGATCGGCTATGGTGTTGACAGTCATGTACATTGGTCTTCGAGAGTCGAAGTGAGCCTGTTGCGTGAACAAGCTGTAGGTAGGATAGTCGGGTAGAGTAGGCTTTAGCTAAGCCTGTGAGGGAAATGCCTAGAGAGACTCTAGCACAAGTAGTCTCTAGGAAGCTAATGGGGCACTGGCCAACAACCTTTGCCATGGAGACACGTGGAGTGGGAGTTTTTGTATTGCGCGCACGCTCATCTCCACGTACTCCTAGGGTAGGGGCAGTTGCTACCTCTACCGGCGGTTGCCTTTTGCTGGCCCAGATGCAGCTCAATTCCTATGCTTCGGGCAAAATTTGATGATGTGCCCGGGGTCTCCACAGAACACGCATTGGTATTTGTCCACGCGGTCATGGCAGACATTCTGCCCTATTCCTAGGTCCTCCCAGGGTTGCCCTTCGGGCCGTCCTGGGTGCCATCCTCCTCTTCTGGGTGACTGACTGAAACGGGGGCGGCTAGATGGGGGACGTTGACCCCTTCCTCCCGCTTGGCGGTCCTTGTTGTCGCCAACTCCCTGGCCGCCCTGTCCTCGGCCACCTGAGGCCTGGCCATTCCTGCCTCGGCCTCGGCCTCCTCCTTGCGGCCTCCCTCCGGCTGCAACAGCAGCGTAAGTACTCCTCTTTCCTACGTTACTGTCTTCCTCTTCTTCTAGTCCCCATTTGATGTCAGTATACGGGACTTCCTCCGCACCACCTTCCTCCATTGTTAGAATCAAACTATCTTTGGCCTTAACTTGGTCAGAGATGGTGCGTCCTTTCCACCTTTTCCCCTTTATCAGATCTTTATGCCACGAAGTGGTAACTGGCATAGCTTGGGCAACAAACGTGACAGCCTCCCTACTAAGGGTATCATATGTCATTCCGGGCCGTTGCTTTTTAGCAAAGAAGTGCCCTTGCACATGCTCGGGCAATACGGAGAGGCGGCGGACGGGCGGGTCATCGAAGGGGCAGTGTGCTGAGCGCAGTCTTGGCGATTCCCCTACGGATTCACCATGTGCACGCGTACTTGAGTGACAACGCTGACTGTCGGCTGCTCGTGGAGGCTTTCGCACTCGAAGACAGACATCGCAAACTGGGGATGAGACGTGATGGTGCGTGGCAGGTTCCAACAGCAGCGCTGGTCGGCGGAGACGTGTGACGTCGAAGCTCGTCGTGCATCGGAGGTCGTCGAAACGCGCAATGGGGACGACGTCGGTTGCGGTGGCGAAGGTGTGGGCGGTGGGTTGGTGTTGGGGGAGCGCGATGGAGGGCTTTCCTCCCCATGGCAAAGCACAATTGACGCCCACTGAGAAGACATTTGTCGTCGCGGCTGCGCTGGCCGTCGTCATCTGCAGCCAGGTGGAGAGAGTGGCAGGGCGCATGAAGGCGACGATTCGAGGCGGAGGCAAATGCTATTGGTGCAGAGGGTGGTACGCTTCGGACTGTGTGAGCACTTCCAAGGTCGTCGTTGAACTACGCGCAACAATCAGGTGTGGTGTGCTCCCTCGGGCGATGGCACGGTGGTGGATGAAGCGAAGAACGGGTGAGACTTGGGAAGATTTGTGGGTGTGCAATGATGCTACAGACGAGTATTTCCCGGAGAAGCTTCACATGCCACGCAGATTTCTCATGGAGATCACGGAAGAGTGTGCACCTTATCTGCAACGACGGGCGACGTTCTACAGGGAGCCACTTCAGCCCGAGCAAATCGTCGCCGAGCGAAATATATGACAACAACACATCATCATTCGGCATCGGCAGAGCTTCGGGACTCGTCGCCGTTCGCGATATTACTGCCACTTTGTTGAGGGTGTACGCGGACAAGATATTGTGGTCAGCGCGGGTGCGGAAACACATAGTGCTTCAGGCGTTCGCTGACAAGGGCTTCCCCAACTGCCACGGAGCGGTGGACTGCACACACATCTACGTTGACAAACCTGCGAATGCTCCAGAACTACAATTTGCAAGCATCGGTTCTCCATCATTAGGCAGGTGGTGGTCGACCTCGTTTGCGTGTGCTCGATGTGTTCGTCAGATATTCAGGGAGCTGCCACAACATCAGGGTCATCCAACTGTCAAGTTTGTGGAGGCGCACACAAGAGGGGTTGTTGTGTTTCGCGGGCCTCCCGTTACGCTGTCGGGCGGGGTGAAGATGAATGGATGCATCCTTGGCGACAATGTGTATCCTCAGTGGGCATGGGTAGTGGTGTCGTATGGAGGGATCAATCAGCACCCCGATGAAGAGTTGTTTGACACGAAACAAAAGGTCGCCAGAGGAGCTGTGGAGAGGGCGTTTGGAAGGCTGAAGGGGATGTGGAGACTGTATTTGCGCACGCACAAGACGAACCTGGACACTCTGCCGCAGAAGCTCACTGCAGTCTGCATTCTGCACAACATCCTTCTCAACGCACGAATCGACTTCGAGGAGAATCTTATGTGGGAAATCAATGAGAACGGAGTGCGGCGCCGAGTGGACCTCGACATTCGTCGCCCGCCACAGCCGGTGGCAATGAGGACGTCGACGGACAGGGCATACGAGTTGCGCAATGCCTTGGCGTCGTTGGTGGAGCGCATGAAACACATGTGATTAGCCGTCGTGCTTGGACATGTTGCGGCACCTGGTTGAATTGTCCCGTGTTTCACCTCACATTTCACATTTGTCCAATGTCCTTCGTTGCTCCGAGCGCCTTCATTGCTCGCGGATGGGCACATGGCTGGCGGCAGTTGTATTGGAAGTCGTCATTGTGGCAATCATGTGATGATCGCCTCCTCGACCGCTTCCACGGTCTTGCCGCACATGAGGTTGTGCTTGACCGTTTGCACTACCCGGTGTGGGCGTTTGCGATGCGCGGGGTGCGGTAGGAGGTAGACATGGGGGTCGACGGTGGGTTTTGTTACTCGGGCAATTCGTCGAGGTCGGTCATGTGCCGCAGGCTGGGTGCAGGGGACCATAGGAAAACGACGTGTACGAAAGCGCGTCCGCCGCCTCCTTTTTAATGTTTAGATCTCCGTTTTTCCAGTAGCGTGGATGACACGCACGCTGTGGTGGCGGTGGTACTTTGCAATGAGAATTCTTTCATGTTCCATTCGAATAGTGTTTCTTTTGGTTTGCCATGTCGCTCGTGCATTCACATGTTCAAACACAACACAAATCATAGCAGTGGCGAGGGTGGGCTAAACAGCCCTCGCCAGCGATGACACCAATGTCTAACCTATGGACGAACGACACAAGAAACTTGCGACACCTACACCGCTCATCCGCCGCTGCTGACATTCCATGTGCTGCTCCCACTACCCTGCGTACTCCTACGACGTGCCTCCCGTGAACCCCCTTCAAATGCACGTGGAGTCCACGACATCGAAGACTCATACCATCCGTGGAGGCAAGACACCAACATGCACTACTACCCTGCGTCGACTCCCCGAACACCCCATCAAGCGCCGCCCCCCGCCCCCCCCATCTACGACACGCCACAGTGTCAACCGCCATCGTCCTTCTCGGCACACGCCGAAGGAGCTAAGGGTGGGTTCTTTTTATCAAGAGAAGTGAGGAGAGATCCATCAGACACTGATTATTTGTTCGCTCACTTGACTGTTCGATTAAACAAGGATTAGTGCCGAGGAGGATTAATTGAGGCAGCAATCAGGTGTTGAGTTGGAGAAGAGAGAGAAATCGGAGCATCCCCGTGTTCTTCTTCTTCTTCTTCTTCTTCTTCTTCACTTCTCCTGATTCTATTCCAACATTCTCTCATCTGCTTCTTTCTTTCGACACAAATGATGGCATTGTCTCACATTCGAGTTCTGCATCTTGAACGACCCAGGATCATAACAGCATGTCCTCCGGGACATTCATCAAAATTAGACCGATACAGAGAAGATTAGCACGGCCCCCTCAGAAGGATGACACACCTCAAGCAAGAAAAGGACCACCACAGTACGTATACACATGCCACTGTTCATAAATAGATCGCGAATTCAAATCCTGGTTAATGCAATACTGTTAGGTGTGTTTCCCTTAAACCGCCAGTACACGGCCACAGCCTTGCAGAAAGTTTTTGTTGCCAAAAGAAAAAGTTGGAGGCGCCGCGCGGCAAGGGGGGCCATTGAAAAAAGAAATCGGCGGCCTCCGAAGTGGTGCGGGTTTCATGCAAACACCCGCGGGCCTATTGTAACACCAAGACTCAATCAACAGCTTGTAATCTGGTAGAACTCTGCTTGCTCATTGCACCCACCCCAACAGGTTTCTCCTCTGCAACCCACCAAGCAACCCCCGTCACCCGAAAGACTCTAATGGAGAGCCAAGGGCAAGCTCTAGTGAGTGTGGTGATGATAGTCGGTTGGCACCTCAAAAGTTCAATCAGGCAGCCTCCAGCCTCCAGCGGCAAAAGGAATTAGCGGGAACCTGGGCTTCGCAGACAGGAAGCTCATATCCTCAACCACTAGCGCATAGGAAGCTCATATCCTCAACCACTAGCGAGACCGATTTCTTCCTCCCTCCACGGCACACACTCGGCCAAGCACCAATCATACAGGTACTCTGATCAAAGAGGCCATCCAAGTCGAGCTCCAACCTCCTCTGCCTATGGCAACCATTCCAGGACCAAGCGCCTGCGTAGGTGGGCATCCACTACTACAGGACCAAGCGCCTGAGTAGGCGGGCCATCCACTAGTACAACCTTTCTAGGATCGAGCGCCTGCATAGGCCGGCGTCCACGACAGGCAGATGCAATAGTCGAGATGGCCGGCAGGGACCATCATAGACAGCAGCTAAATCGGGCAGCCTCCAGTGCAAAAGGAATGAACGGACATTTGACAGCATAGCGGCCTTGTCCCATGAACTGCCGAGGCACAGGGAAGGCCACACATATGTGGGGAAGTTTAGCAAGTTTGGCCTCCAGGGGATTTCGCAAGCAAGTGTCCATATTAATGTTCTTTTCCATTTCTGGAGGGATCCCGTACCATTAAAAGCTTCTATGGGACTAGTACCATGACTCTAGCCCACTCCCAGCATAGATATGGATTAGAAGCAGTAGTACAGAAAGCTTCAAGTCGTAGGCCTGAGGGAAATTGCAGACATATCTGTGCAAGCAAAATATTTAGGGATGTCCTTATACTCGCAACTTTCCGGTATACCCCTGCACTTTGTCAATATTCTTTCAAGAAGAACAATCATATTTATTCTATTATCAGACAGATTCCATGGTGTACATTCGACATTAGTAGTCTGTTTCGACTACTAACGAGAAAACTTTCCGGTGTTGCACTTTCCTCCTCCTCCTGCTTGTCTTTCTCAACTTCCTCCTCCTTGTCTTCCTTGTTGTCCCTCCTCCTCTCCCTCCTCCTCTCCCTCCTCCTCGTACTCCCTAATCTTACTACTTCCTCATCGTCTTTTCCTCCTGTTGACTCCATGCACTTGATTGGAAAGGAGTGGGCTAAGGACACATCCGCAACGCGCAGGCAACTCAAAAAATATGGCCAAGGTTGATCAACACAAGAAGAAGAATTAGAAGAAGAAGAAGAAAAGATGACGGATTACCGAAAGGCATAAGAAATGAGGAAATGAAAAGAAGGATGTATGCTAGGGGAAGAAGATCCTTGGAGTTGAGAGAAGGAGTCTACCTTTAATGGGCTTAAGCTCAAAGTCAAATTGGTCTATCTCAGCAGCCCATCTAGTCAGTTTGGGCGTCATCTTCGCTTGCGTCTTCAGCCACCTTAGGGTCTCATGGTCTGAAGACTTTGAAGTGCCTCCCAACCAGGCAGTCCCTCCAATGATCTAAGGCCTGCCTGAGAGCGTAGAGTTCTCTCTCGTATGTTGAGGCTGCTACCTTTTCTGATGGCAGCCTAGCTGAAATGAACTCCACGGGTCTGTAGCCATCGTTGTCATCTTGCTGTAGCACAACACCTATGCCATACTGACTTGTGTCTGTAGTGACGACAAAGGGCAATGAAGGATCGACTACTTTTGAGGACAGGATACTCTACCAAAACCTTTTTCAACTTCTTCAAGGCCAAGGTGCGATCTTGGTCCCACTTCCAGATTGGTTCCTTCCTCTGGTCTAATGCCGTCTCCATCTAATATGTGGCCCAAGTAAAGAACTTTTGTCTTGGCCCACGCACACTTCTTCGCGTTGATCTTGAAGTTAGTCTCTCGTAGCTTCCCCAAGATCTGCCTCAGATGACCCTCATTTTCCTCAAGGGTCTTGCTGAAAACCAAGATATTGTCTAAGTAAACTACGATGAATCTATCTAGCCACGGTCTAAACGAGTCGTTCATACAGCGCTGGACTGTGGCTGGTGCGTTAGTTAGTCCAAAGGGCATCACTACGAACTCATAATGCACGTATCTAGTTCGGAACGCCATCTTGTAGTGATAGTCAGGGTGTACCTCTATCTGATGGTATCCCGACTTCAAATCTATCTTTGTAAAATACTTCCAGCCCTGCACCTGATTCAATAGATCATCTATACGGGCAGAGGTTCCGCATTCTTGACTGTTATAGCGTTCAAACTCCTGCACTTTATGCACATTCTTAATTCTCCCTCTTTCTTTGGGACAAAAATAACAGGTGCACCGAAAGGAGATGAATTAGGTCTAATCCATCATTTTTCTAGGAGCTTATCTAATTGCTTGCGTAGCTCCTCTAGCTCCTTAGGAGACATTTTATAGAATGGTCCTTTAGGTGTTCTACTGCCAGGCTCTATCTCTATCCAGTGTTGGATGGGCCTTGGCACTACCCCTGAGGGTGCCCCCTATAAGTCTTTATATTCCTCCAGGAAACTGACAATAGTGGGATGGATCTTCTTTTCCTCCTTTGGCATGTCTGTTACTGGCCTAACATAGACGACGAACACATGTTCCTCGAGCTGCTCCTTTCTGACAAGTCTAGCGAACGCAGGAGTGCTAAGGCAGCAATGTGCCAGGGAGTTGTCTACCCTTGACTCATGATACAAACGGGCTTTCTTAACCCCACCGGATGGACTAGGGAACCTGCACTCGTGCTCTCGAAGGTGCAAAGTGGCCCTGACTTCCTATCCCCAATCTGTACCACGTACCATATCAAATGGAAGATTCTCTCTACGAGTAGAGTCAGAGAGTGAAGGACTTTTTCTACCTTCCCTCCTTGCTCTAGGGGAAAATATGTCTGGACTCCCTCTACGTATTCCTCGATCCACATGGTCGGTTGTCTGCGAGGATACTGACTACAGGGTCCTTCAGTTTTTGGACGTTGAGGCCTAGCCTCAACTTCTTCAGGGCTCTACGACTAATATAGCTTCTAGTGGCCCCACTGTTTATGAGGGTCCCTACTCTAGCTCTAAAAATCTCTACATGTGCTAAGATGAGCTGCCCCTTTTCATCCTTTTTCATCTTGTCCCAAACTTGCCTTCTCTTCTTCAACTCTTTGGGCGCTGGGCGCCAGACAAAGAAGAGCGACTCTGGATACTGTGTTGGTGTGGCCTACGGGCTTGAACATTGCCATGCTAATCTTCATTCTCTGTATCGTTCCAACTTTAACGAATGTCCCGAAGGAAAGTGGGTATTCATTTGTTGTTATCGATTCTGTGGAATTTTGTTCCGGTAGGTTAGTAGTTGATTTCGACTTCTGCTGAGTTTTTCTCGCATGTTTTCCTTTGTTCTTAGCCGAAGCCGGGTAATGGCCCTGGTATGAGA